TCTACAAGTAAGGGAATAAAGTGACGAAAATTTGGATCATAAGCATCAACAACGCAGCTTTGACGAACTCGATGTCAAGAGCCTGCGTCGGGCAAGCAAGCGAGAAGTCGCCGGTTTAATCCCGTGAAGGGATCTATAGCAGCTGTGCATCTGTCTGTTATGTTAACCAAGCAATGCCGGGTAATTTGTTCTACTTTAGTCTATAACAAATCGTTTAGCTTGTTAATCTTTTGGCTATTTTCAACTTCACTAAAAAAAAACACCTGCTTTGGTTAGGGTAAACACAGTTCGGTTCACTTCGCTGCTCTTGAAATAGGTTTCGCTTCCTTGCATTGTTGCGTCGCTGCCTCGACAATAAAGTCGCTTTCGCTGGATCTGAGTCTCAGGTTGACTTATCTGTGTGCGCTTGTTCACCCGGTAGTCGGCAGTCGGCAGTCGGTTTTCGGTCGTTCGCAGAGTCTCTTGTCAGATTAGATATGGTGCGCGCCTTAATTACGATATGATTGATGATAGGCCAAGGCTTGACATGCGTCTCTTTTTTTGTTGTATGCTACCGGATGTGTTCTATTGAAATCAAAAGCTTTCATGCAGACCTTTTGATTCGACCACGGTGAATTTTATTTGAGCTTCGACCAAGGTACAAGAGTGACATTTCGAAAGCATAATTGTGGAATCGTTTTATACCCTGAGCGTGAGTGGATCCTATGTCCTTCTGTGTGTCCGTCTGACTATCCGACGATGTGAACAATTATTTTTCAGAAGATACAAAAGCTGCAGAGTACGAAGTATATTCTGGCATACCATATGATGAAGTGATGTCAACTCATATTCATATAAAAATCGATTACCGTACATGGTTTTATAAACTAAGCTTGATTATACGAGCTAGATATATCAATCTTGGAATGAAGTTTCTCGTATAGCATGTACATAGCTCTAAATATAAAAATTATTTGTCCGGACTAGCTGACGGACTGATTGGCGATCAACGCACAGCCCAAACCGTAAGAAGTATGAAATTCAGAACATTTCGCTTTACTTACCTGATGAAGGTGCACGTTAAGATGGGCTTTCGGGAAATTCCACTCGCATGTGTGGAAAAACCGCGAAAACGTTTGTATGAACCTTTTTTGTTTACCATCCCATCGGCATTAAACTCATTTTCAAAGATCTTTGTTCAAAATCATTTGAGGGGTGTTTCAAACTTTTCGAAAATTGCATTCCTCCTTGGTGGAAATGGGGGTCGAAATTTTGGTGGGTGACGTTTCGCGATCAAATTCATTTCTAAAGATCGATAAGAAAATTCATTTGAGAACTGTATCACGCTTTTCGCAGAATCCGAGCTTTCTCGGTAGAAATTCGATTTAATGATTTTTTGGCTTGCATATATGTATATGTATCCATTTTAGTAAACAGATGTATGCATGTTTGCTTTGTATATATGCAGATGTGCATGCATATGTATGCATTTTAGTGCATATATGTGCACACATATCTATGAATGTATGTATGCATGCGTTATAACACATATAAATATGTGCATGCTTACATATATCTTTGAATGGATGTCTGCATATTTAGGTATGCATGTTGGCATATGTACATGCATGCATGTTTTTTTGTATATATGCAATCATGCAAAAATGCATACATGCATACATACATACATACATACATACATACATGCATACATGCATACATGCATACATACATACATACATACATACATACATACATACATACATACATACATACATACATACATACATACATACATACATACATACATACATACATACATACATACATACATACATACGTACATACATACATACATACATACATACATACATACATACATACATACATACATACATACATACATACATACATACATACATACATACATACATACATACATACATACATACATACATACATACATACATACATACATACATACATACATACATACATACATACATACCTACATACATACATCTACATACATACATCTACATACATACATACATCTACATACATACATCTACATACATACATCTACATACATACATCTACATACATACATCTACATACCTGCCCCACCTCCTCCTGATCCGCCGCCTCCTGCTCCACCGCCACAAGTTGCTCCTCCACAGGCCGTTGGAGCCAACGCTTGCTGCCTTGTTGAATTTCAGCAAGGCCTACTTGAATTCTTGAGAATCGAGGAGGAGAGCACTTGGCAGAAATTCGTTTTATTTAAATTTGCATCACAGCGACAAATAAGCTTGGTCTGCGTTTGACAGTAGAAAACAAACCTGCATGCATACATATATACATACATGCGTACATACATGTATGCATACACTAACACACACACACACACACACACATATACACACACACCTATATAATACTTGTATGCCTTCGTACAAAATACTTGTATATAATATCTAAATATATAAAATTGTTTCTCCTGACTGACTGACTGATTGACTGACTGACGGACTGACTGACTGACTGACTGATTGGTGATCAACGCACAGCCCAAACCGTAAGAGCTAGGGAACTGCAACTTTCACGGAAGTTACCCTATGTGATTAAGGTGAACGTTACAATGGGGTTTCGGGAAATTCTACCCGCATGTCTGGAAAAGCCGCGAAAACGATTGCATTATATTTTTTGTTTACCATTCGATCAATTTGGCAACATTATTCTTGGTCAAAATACATGTAAAAGTGGTACCCTCAAATATCCTTTATAGACATGGGTAAAAATTTCCCACCCCCATAACTCGGTCAAATCTTATCCGATTTTCACGAGGTTTGGACTTTTTTTTATGGGATTTCCTTCTAGAATAATCAGGCATTCAAGTCTCAATAATTATTTTCTAGTCAATTCATTAAAATCTTACCCTATGATTCGTATATAGACATGGGTAAATTTCCCACAACCCATAACTCGGTCAAATCTCATCCGATTTTCACGAGGTTTGGCGTTTTGCTCATGGTTTTCCCTCTAGAATAATCTGGCATTCAAATCTCAATACATATTTTCTAGTCGAAATTCATGTCAAATTCTTACCCAAGATTCGTCTATAGACATGGGTCAAAATTTCCCACACCCATAACTCGGTCAAATCTCATCCGATTTTCACGAGGTTTGGCGTTTTGCTCATGGTTTTCCCTCTAGAATAATATGGCATTCAAATCTCAATACATATTTTTTAGTCGAAATTCATGTCAAATTCCTACCCCTAGATTCGTGTATAGACATGGGTCAAAATTTCCCACACCCATAACTCGGTCAAATCTCATCCGATTTTCACGAGGTTTGGCGTTTTGCTCATGGTTTTCCCTCTAGAATAATATGGCATTCAAATCTCAATACATATTTTCTAGTCGAAATTCATGTCAAATTCTTACCCAAGATTCGTCTATAGACATGGGTCAAAATTTCCCACACCCATAACTCGGTCAAATCTCATCCGATTTTCACGAGGTTTGGCTTTTTGTTCATGGTTTTCCCTCTAGAATAATATGTCATTCAAATCTAAATACATATTTTTTAGTCGAAATTCATGTCAAATTCCTACCCCTAGATTCGTGTATAGACATGGGTCAAAATTTCCCACACCCATAACTCGGTCAAATCTCATCCGATTTTCACGAGGTTTGGCTTTTTGTTCATGGTTTTCCCTCTAGAATAATCTGGCATTCAAATCTCAATACATATTTTCTAGTCGAAATTCATGTCAAATTCTTACCCAAGATTCGTCTATAGACATGGGTCAAAATTTCCCACCCCCATAACTCGGTCAAATCTCATCCGATTTTCACGAGGTTTTGCGTTTTGCTCATGGTTTTCCCTCTAGAATAATATGGCATTCAAATCTCAATACATATTTTTTAGTCGAAATTCATGTCAAAATCTTGTCCCTAGATTCGTATATAGACATGGGTCCAAATTTCTCAGACCCATAACTCGGTCAAATCTCATCCGATTTTCACGAGGTTTGGCTTTTTGTTCATGGTTTTCCCTCTAGAATAATATGGCATTCAAATCTCAATACATATTTTCTAGTCGAAATTCATGTCAAATTCTTACCCCTAGATTCGTGTATAGACATGGGTCAGAATTTCCCACACCCCATAACTCGGTCAAATCTCATCCGATTTTCACGAGGTTTGGCTTTTTGTTGATGGTTTTCCCTCTAGAATAATATGCCATTCAAATCTCAATACATATTTTCTAGTCGAAATTCATGTCAAATTCTTACCCCAAGATTAGATGATATAGACATGGGTCCAAATTTCCCACACCCATAACTCGGTCAAATCTCATCCGATTTTCACGAGGTTTGGCTTTTTGTTCATGGTTTTCCCTCTAGAATAATCTGGCATTCAAATCTCAATACATATTTTCTAGTCGAAATTCATGTCAAAATCTTGTCCCTAGATTCGTATATAGACATGGGTCAAAATTTCCCAACCCCATAACTCGGTCAAATCTCATCCGATTTTCTCAAAGATTGGCTTTTTGTTTATGGTTTTCCCTCTAGAATAATATGGCATTTAAATCTCTAAACATATTTTCTAGTGCAAATCCATGTCAAATTCTTACCCCAAGATTCGTATATAGACATGGGTCAAAATTTCCCACCCCCATAACTCGGTCAAATCTCATCAGATTTTCACGAGGTTTGACTTTTTGTTCATGGTTTTCCCTCTAGAATAATATGGCATTCAAATCTCAATACATTTTTTTTAGTCGAAATTCATGTCGAATTCCTACCCCTAGATTCGTGTATAGACATGGATAAAAATTTCTCACTCCCCTAATTCGGTTAAATCTCATTATTTTTATACCAGGCGAACAGCAGCAAAATTTCGGAGCTGAGCTTTAAACAATTAAGCCAGAGCCGAAGGCCTAGCTCCTAGATGAGCAGGAGTATCGAGATTCTGTTCGCCTGGTGTTAAATATTGTCCGCAGCTCTTACATTTAATTGTGTATAAAATATATCACTTTAGTTATATTCACAATGCAGAAAAAACATTCGATTAAATATACATTTTAAAACGCGCAAAGAAAATATATATAATTAGTTAAATTCTTATTTGTTATTCTTGTTTATGCTTGCTGCTCGAGAGCTCCGGCTCCGACTCCTCGACCTCTGCAGCAGCTGCTGGTGGCCTGCCGGCAGCATTTCTATCCTCGTATCGATTGGCATCCAATTCATTGCATACACCGAAGGTAATTGGCAATAAAGGTAAGCCCTGTAATCTGGCGCCTGTGCAGAATGGACAGCTTTGGGCAGTAGTTGGGCAGCGTTGACTGAAATGGAACAAACGAAGCAGAAGACAGGAGACAGGAGACTTACCTGCCCGCGGCCACGGCGACAATTGGTGTCGTAGACGGATAAATCTTGTTGTACAGGCAGAGCAAGCGATGAGCCACCAAGAGGATCGGCAGGAGCAGCACGCCACAGATCAGGACGCCCAACCAGAAGCCATTCTACGGCGAAAAGAAAAATAACTATGATAAATATATAATACATGCTGGTATTCCAAGTCTTATTCATCTGTTTCCCTTAAATCTACCCATATTTTATTTCACTTATTTGAACATTAATTTGATGGCAATGGAATAAGAGGAACCTTCCTATAAATAAACTTTCGTTTAAACTAACTTTGTGTGAAGAGCTTCGCAGAAAGATTTTTGAAAATGAGTTTGAACCAGCAACTTTACCCCCTTCGACCAATATTCACCCTTGATGCCCATTTCACCAATATGAATAATATGAAGTAGAAAAAAAATGCTGTGAAAATGAGCCTGAGGCGGATCGAATGGTTAGCAAAAAAGTTGCATGCAAGCGATTTCCGCGCTTTTTTCACAATTGCAGGTGGAATTTCTCAAAAATCACGCCAAAGCGAGCGCCTTTTTCACAAGGTGCTGGGATGTGTGAGTCAATCAGTTATTCGGGGGAATTATTTCGATATATATACCTTTAAAGATGTGATCGGCTTACCATAGGATCGACAAGACGATGACATATGAGGTCCACACCGCGGTAATATATGTAGGCAAGTGGAGCGCAGCGGCCAACATTGTGATGACAGAAATTGACGACCATTTCTGTGTAGTTGGCGACCTCATCTTCGACAAAAACTGAAAGATTCTGGCGTAGTATATTGACAAACGGTTCGGCCTTATTTCTGATGTACAATTCGGAGGCTTCCGCCAATTCGATTAGATTTTCGATAGACTCCTGAAACGGGCTGTCCTCGTACAGTATAAGCTTATCGATCTCCAGCAGTTTCTCGGTCATTTTAATTAGAGTATATCGAATCCGATCAGCGAGCTCTTTTTCAAATTTCTCCAGGGCAAATGCCTGGTTGCCCAAGGCGATTATCGCCGAGTCATAGATACCCCAAATGCTGGGCAGACCGGAACGCAAATCTTTCAGCTTATTGATCATCCGGGGCAGATCGACGGGCGCCATTGTGTTGCACAAATGCTTTATGAATATCGAACTGTGATAGTCGGACAGATTGCTTTGCGCCGCCACATTTAGGCCGTCCTTCTCCTGCTGGGTGAGCACCTCGTATGTGGAGATGTTCGCTGAAAATATGGTCGTATTTGGCGTTACGTGAGCGCCGATAACTTCGATGCGCACCAGATCGTTGACATCATACAAATTGTTTCTCTGCAGCAGATTGAAGATCGTCTCGTTTGCCGCGCACGCCTCGATCGCATCCGAGACGTGCAACCCCGAATCTGGTTGCGGGCCCGACTCGTTATTCGCAAAATATCGCCGCAGATCAATTGTCGCATCCATCTGGCGAAAGAAATCGTTCTTCTTTTGATCCCGCAACGGCGCACAGACGCCCTCGTAGGTGATTAGCCCGAAGATAAAGTAAAATAGGCCGAGTAGCAATATGAACGATAACACGCAGAATATCATTATTATGGCGCTGCGTACAGGAATGGAGACATGTTATCCGGGCCACTCTTCCTTAGCGAAAGCTCCTCCCGATCACTTACAAAAACAGGAAGATAGCTCCGATGCCCTTGCTGCTGAGGTCCACGGCTTCGCTATGTCTGACGCGTCCAAAGCAGCCGAATATCAGCGCAAGAATAAGCAGGATGAGTAACTGAAATCAAATAAATTTTGTTAGTTCGACTGAAAAACTACTCGGGATTTGAACCAGCGCCCTGCCTGGGCTCAAAACTTGGTTCTGATATTTTTAAAATGTTGATAAAACAGTTTAGTTTTTAATTGAACGTTCTACAGAAAATACAAAAGTTGCGGGCTAAACTTTGATCTGTAACCAGGGTTCGAACCAGCGCCCTGCCTTGGGTTCCCTGCGTAAAGATGTTTATCCATATACTTGAATCCAGGTTTGGAATCAAAACTTGGTGCTGACATTTTGAAAATTAGAATAAAACAGTTTAATTTGTAAATGCCCGTTCTACTTTAATCCTGTTCTCAGGGTTCGAACCAGCGCCCTGCCGGGGTTCAAAATTTGGTTCTGAATTTTTAATTTTTAATTGAACGTTCTATTGAAAATACAGAATTTGCGAACTAAACTTTGATCTTTACCCAGGGTTCGAACCAGCGATCCGCCTTGGGTTCAGCTGTTTATCCACGTCCTTGATCCCAGGTTTGGATTGAAAGCTTGGTTCTGACATTTTGAAAATTAGAATAAAACAGTTTAATTTGTAATTGCCCGCTCTACTTTAATCCTGTACTCAGGGCTCGAACCAGCGCCCTGCCAGGGTTCAAAACTGGGTTCTCAAATGATTAACATTTAAATAAAACAGTTTTATTTTGAATTGCCTGTTGTACTGAATATACAGAAATCGTGGGCTTAACTAAACGGGGTTCGAACCAGCGCCCTGCCTTGGGTTCAGTGTGAAAATCTGTTTATCCATATACTTGAACCCAGGTTTGGATACAAAACTTGGATCTGACATTTTTAAAATGTTGATAAAACCAGTTTAATTGTCTACCTTAATTCTGTGCCCAGGGTTCGAACCAGCGTCCTGCCTTGGGCTCTACAGTAAATAAGCTTAAATCTTTACCCAAATTTGGTGCCTACATAATATGTTAGGATACATTTTTATGGTCGATTTCGATATGGAACGGAGTTAGACCTTAAAAGATTGTTTTGTATTTTGGCTTCGGCTAATAGTAAAAACTAAGCTGGAATTGGGCTCAAGCCGGCTCGAGCCGAACTTCGTTTGGAACACTTACTATCCCGAGCATCACGCAGATAAGTAGATTGAAAGCTTTACGATGAACGCCAAATTTGCTGTACACATCGTCGAGCGACTTGGTCCCTTTGAGAGTGTCAAAGTGAATGCTGTTTATCACGGAATCGATGATGCTGCGCATATTAAGGGCCTGGATGCGAAATTGAGAAATGCCCTCGTGCAGATCGCGTATTAACGGCGGGGTCACAGGATCTATGGCTTTCTTAATCTTTGCGCCAATAAAGTGTAGACGATCTATTGCCTCGGCGGGTATTCGGCTCGTGTCGTTGCGAATAAGTTCATCGACAAGCAGAATGTATTTGGAGGACACGGGCAGCTGCGGAAGAGAGAAAAGACTTTGATTTTACATTGCTTAGAAACTAGAAACTAGAACCATACCTCATCGAGGTGCAGACATTTCGAGGCATCCAGCGTCTCGATATTCGAGTTCTTCAAAAAGTTCAGACAATCTTTATTCCCACACAGCGCAGCCAGGGTAAAGGACAAGTCACGCTTTACGGTACGCAATCCTGTTGTAATTAGAAAAATCATTGAGAATCCAAAGGTCGACAAATAGGTGAATATTATTTACCATCTCGCAGCTGTGCGCCATAGAAACGCAAATCCTTTTCCAATTTGTGCACTTCCCGAAAGAGAATCAAGGCCCTTGGCATGCTATTCAATATGCGCTCTATATCAAACAATGCGTTGGCATTCGAGGTAGCCAACAGGTCCAGGAATACGTGATGGTGTGCATCTGAAAAATATGATAAAGATAAATACCCGACTAGCCAGAGAGTACTCTAGTCGAAAAGGCCCGACTAGGGGTTAACCCGAAGCGAGCTACCTTTATAGACATTCTAGCTTCCTTCTCTTAAAGCACGAGTTATGCTCCTTTCCATGCGAAATGCTTTCTGGATTAACTCTGTTGTTAATAGTAAGATTTTTATGAAATTTTTAGGGATTACATTTGGCATATAAAAGTGTGTATATACCAAAGATCAAGGCGAACTGAAAGAGATTTGAAGGAAAGGGAATTCTTTCGTATCTGTGTATATAGTACAAGGAACTACACACAAAAAGGGAATATATATATATTTATGAAATTATAAGTCTCGAGATTTTGTATGTTTATACAGACGGACAGACGAATCGCCAGGCTCTGCCTGCTACATATTGCCCATTTCATATTGGCTTCAGGGTATACAAATCGAAATTAAAATCTCAAAAGGGAACAGGCAGCATTTGATCTTACTCATTAAAATGTCGGTCATATGCATATCCATCTCTTGATAGTTATATATAAGCAAATGTTCAATGTGGTTCGCTGTGTCGCGCAGAAAGGTGCAAGTGTCTTGGCTGGCGCGGCGCATTGTCTTGCTTGTGTATTCTAAGCCATGATCCAATAATGTATTTGAGCCAATGGCAATGATCACACCAAAACTGGAATATGATTAAGTGAATGCGAGTATTGAGGCTTTGCTTTCATGACTTACAGAACTCCAATTAGAAGTATCGCAAGAAAAATACCGCAGATCCAGCGTCTGATAGCGTCATCCGTTTTATCACAGGACGGACATCCTTGTGGGCAACGTTGGCAGCAGCAGAAGCAGCAATAGCAGACCCTGTGGCAGGATAAAACCAGTAAGAGGCGCTAGTCGGGAGTACCCGACTAGGAGATCGCCTGAACCAACACCAACAATTTATTTCTTATGAAAAAAAACCAATTAAAATCGCAACACATAATGACATGTGAACGTGTGTGGGTGTACATGTATACACGCTGACACGTGAGCTGCCAATATACCATATTTTTCGTTTTCTTTAATAACTTTTGTGTTTCTTAACCGATTTTGATGAAATTTTCAACAGTAGATCTCATTATGCTACAGAATATTCGAATTCTCTCAAAATGTCAATTGCATTCAAATTGTGGCATTAATTGGTGGGCAATACAGACTGAATTTTTTTCTTGATTTATTGCTATGTGGGGATAGCGGAGAGGTTTTGATAGCTATAATCTGAAATATACTTGATATATATACTATTCTATAAGCTACATGTCCAGTTTGGTGACTCTAGCTCTTATAACTTACGAGATTGGGTCAAAAAACAGGTATTCCTGTAAGGTCAGGCTTACTTACCCTATAAAAGGCATGATAATTATAAGGATGAGCAGAAATATCACCCAGATGAGCGCTACAAAATACTCCGCTAAAAGACTGCGCCAATCGTTGTTCTCCACATTGGGTCCCAAAGCGAAAGTGTCTCCGTTCTTGACCACAATGTAGCCTACAATGCATAGAGCAGCACGTTTTACGATAGGTCCAACTAAACTCTGTTAATATACTCACCGGGCGGTATTGAATGCCCTCTTACTACGACCTTATCAATTAGACTGTGGGTGAAACTGTGCACACTATCTGTGAACGCAGTTGAATAAATTGTTTCATTGGTGTAGTTGGCCTTTGATTCGAATGGGGTATAATCTGTCGAGGGAAAGTGCATATGTCCCATTTGCTCGACGCCGTTGGCATCGTCCGCGCGCGGTTTTATTACACTGTCCTCCACTTCGAACAGCTCTTTTTTGACTGCGTAAGTTGGCCTCATTAACATGGCCAAGGCACAGCCAAATAATATTATCCTGAGGCCGCATATTGCCAAAGACGCCGCGCTTTTGTGGCGTTTCGTCCTAGACTTCAGATAATTAGATGAATCTGGTGCCATTCCGTTTGGATTAATCAGTTAATGGATTAATGCCAAGCTCGCAGGTCTTGACCTTCTATATGCATATACCAGACCGTGCGTAGTTCTAAATTGCCTTAACACATTATATATTCACATATGTCAAAATGTGCTTACCCAAAAACCACAAACGTATGAGTTGTTAAGAGAAGAGAGAGAGATTTGCAATCAATAAAAGAACAAAAGTAGAGAGCGGGTGAGAATAGAAACAGATAAACGAGCAGAGGGAAAGAGCGAGAGAAAGGGAGAGAGAGAGTGAGCAAAATTTATAAAATTGATATTTACTTATTTACTTATTCATGAAAACATGCAAGCCCTACTTGAATTCATGAGAATCGCAGAGAAGGGCGTCATGTCGTGAAAGAGCGAGAGAAAGGTGGAGAGATCGAGCAGAATTTAAAAAATTGACATTTACTTATTGTCAAAGATTGAAAACAGGTAAGCCTTGCTTAAATTCATGAGAATCGCATAGAAGAGCGCCAATTCAATTTGCAACGCAGTGGGCGTAGTTATCGAAGTTAACTTGGTTTGGCTTTTGTTTAAGAGAAACACATGTGTGGAATACACACAAATATGGGAGAACAAGCATACAAATGACCAAAACTCGGCTTAATGACTTCCGATCTAACAAACTAATAGTTGTAACCCCTTATCATTCTATCAAATTTAATTTCAACAATTTAATATTTTGACTTCCAATGGATAGTAGGGATCTGTAAAAGTCCGACAAGCTACATTTATGATCGTCATGATTGTCATTTAATGCCCATAATAGAGACCTACAATCATAATAAGCAGCTAGGCGGAGTTTACTCACCAGCACCAAAAGCATGAATATAAGCATCTATTTCCTCTGCAGCTTCTTCTAAATTTTAAGCACTTTAAGATAAGGTGTCATTACAATCTCTAAGATAATTTGCAGAGGCAACTGCACTGCTATTGTACTACTGATCAGATGTGTGACATTTTTGGTTTAATTTCTAGAATTTGCTGTGACAATTGTATCACAGACTGCCAAAGGCAGCCTGGTTCGAACCAAGTTTGCTGGAATGAGAGTTTAAATGGTGTGAAGCGGCTCTACAAATCTTTCTACAAAATATTTACTTGATCACTTTAGCGGGCGACTCCTCTTGAGGCTGTCGTTAATTGTTCTCCTATTTGTAAATGGTATTTTTGTAGACCTGCCTGCATGGACAGCCATGATCCAGCCAGGACATCAAGCTGCAAGTTGAGCCTGTGCTTCGATAGCTCCGAAAGGTTGCAGGCACTTGTTTTTTTGTTGTAATTTTTATTTGTATTTATATTTTCACAGTAATTGGTTTTCTGTTAGCTTTAAAACTTTGATTCCATACTATTGGCTTATTGTAAAACACTAAAAATGACATAGGCAGAAAATTCATGAAATGTACGTAAATAATATGAAAATTACATACATTCATAAATACTTTTTTGTTTTTTTGTATAGATAATGCTTAACTAAAATACATATTTAATACGTGTGTGTGTATGTGTGCATTGTTTTAAATCCTTAGTTATAATTTTCTTTTTTTTTGTTGTTGTTATTTTGTTATTTTTAATTATTATTTTGGCTACTTGCAGTTTGCCCAGCATTTTTAATATAATTTAAAACATTTTTATTTAGTAGAGATTGAAACATTGTCTTACTAAATCTATGACAATTCAAAGTACACGTTCATATTATAAAGTTTCATTGCGTCACTTTTGGGGGTTGTTTTTTGTTTTTTTTTTGTTTTGTTTTGATTTGTTTTCTTTTTTTTTAAGGAAGTCTGGTAGTGTGAGTATTAGTTTCTTGGAAAATAAATACAAACACTCGTAAATTAAATGCATCAAAAATGGCAGACAGAGTTTTGTGTGTTGTGTTTGAGTTTTGCCTGCTGCTCTGATCCACTAACTTAAAATGGCAGTTCTGGTTTTTTATTTTAAATATATATATAAATGTATATTTATATATATATAGATTTACTTGACGTTCCGTAAAACTAATATATATTTATTTTTTTTGATTATTGTGGGGCTTCGAACGCTGTGCACAATAATATTATTATGGGATACATTCAAGTTCGTGAGAGCTGTGAGATCTATCTCTTGAGTTCTTTTGGGATATTTGCTTGTGGTCTTTTTCTTGTTGTTGTTTTTCTTTTTGTTGTTGTTGTTGTTGTTTTGAACATTAACTTATTAAATGCTTTAGCTGTGCATATTCATATAGATTTCAACCCAATCGCATTGCTTGCTTTTCAACTTTTCCTCTTCAACTTTTCATGCTATTCTTTTGGCAACATTTTCAATGTGTTTAAACAATACATATACATATATATTTATATGTGTGTGTGTGAGTATGGAGTATTGCTACGTTGTGAATTACTTTTGTTTATAACTAATCTTTACTATTTCGCGCCTACTCTCATATCATTGTCTCGCATTGCGCTGACAGATCGTCTGATACAGTTTCAAAGATTCAAAAAAAAAAAGAATTAAATAAAAAATATTTCAACACGTGATGCTACAAATTACATAACTCTAAATAAAAATCTAACTTTCAACTAAAATTACAGTCTCAGTAAAAATTGGGTTGTTGTTGTTTTTGTTGTTGTTGCTGTTGTTGCAGTATTCAAAATGAAATCCATGCGTCATTTGCCATCCTCTCCTCTTAAAGCCAGCCCAACAGAGTCCTTTAATCGACAACTTTTTAAACGCCGTCCAATGCTTAATCCTGGTCGGAGGCACCCGGATAATAGTACGGCGGAGGTCGCTCATATTCGGATGATGGCGGCGCCACGGGCGGATTGTGGTAGCGCGGCGGCTCGTGGTCCCAGTGTCTGTGTATGCAGAATTCAAATTGGTTACAAATATTTCTATATATATAATAAATATCGTAATGTGAGTTCTTATCGCATTGGAATTGAATTCAACATCAACTGCGACGACTCACGCACAACACAAATAACATTTAAAGAGAGGCAACAGCTGCGTTTAGTATTTGTTCTTATACCCTTGTAGAGGGCATTGTAATTTTGTCATGAAGTGTGTAAGGCTCAGATGAAGGCGTCTCCAGACCTTTAAACTGTGATCCACAGCAGAGTCGATATACCCAACTTTCTCTTGGAAGAGGCTCATCTCTTTTTGTTGTAGGTAGTTCCGACCGAATCGGATCACTTTATCACTTGGCTGTCATATAAACAATCGGCCGAGAATTAAGTTCTCCTATGACAAATTTATCAGACTCCTCTATCCTATCTATAGGTTAACATTGCGCAATAATACTACAAGGGTATTAAATCTTCGGCATGCCGAAAAAAGCCTCTCTTTCTGGCTTTCGATTAGTTGTTGTTCGAACGAGGTTTTTAGAAACAGAAGCAGCAGTTAGTTGCAATCGAAGTCAAGGGGGACAGTTCTAGTTATTCAAGAAGGGAGAAACATTGGCAGCAAGTGTGAAATGTGTTGAGAATGAAGCAATGAGGTGTCTCCAGCTAATGTTCTTAGGACTGTATATAACAAATGATATGATGATAACACACACAACATTACACACACTCGCACACACAAACTGCTTGGAGTTTTTATAGGCAGCGACATAAGCAAATAATATATTTAGACTAGATATATTAACCAAACCATTTGCACTTCGGATGATATATGTATGCCTAAAAGAAACCATCTGTCGCCAGTGCTTTTGGCCTTGTATCTACAGCCACAACTTTAGCGCTAAATAAAACGAAACCAAAAAATAGCAATTAAATCGGCGGCCATTAAATGTTAGCCACAATTATTCCAGTTGCTTTCTATGTGTGTGTGTGTGTGTTTTTCTTCTCAGTTAATTGGTGTTAATTATACGAGTTAGACGAGGATGAGGACTCTTAACTAGCTATATGCAATATCTATTAGGCGAGGGCGTGGCACTTACGTGGGTGCCACATCGTTATAGCGCATATTGCTGCTGCCAGCAGCTGCATCCACAACGCCTGGACCAGCACCAGGTCCGGAGCGTGGCCCACCACGCGACACGCTCGGCGATGCATCCTCATAGTATTCCTGCTGTTCGCGTCGTCGATCGTACGCCTTGCGTCGCTTCTTTGGCACACTGAAAACAGCAGAAGGAAACGAGCCATCAATTGGAGTAAAAATCAATCAAAGGAGCTTGGAGCTGCCTTCTCTTACTTGGCCAGTGGCACGTGCTCGCGCTCGCGCTCGCTATAGGCATCGTATAGATAGTCGCTGCTGCGTGCATAATGCGGCGATGGGTTAGCGATGAAATGAAAATGAAACAAGTGTCAGATGATTCCAAATTGGGCCAATTAGATCAATCGATAATGTTGACTGTTTCTAGATAGAGCCCTGCATCGGTTTATTTACTCGACTACTCAATCGAACTCATGCACACGAAGTTCGAGCTGATCAGCAACATGTTTGATTCGATTGACTCGATGCAGGGCTCACAATTCATGCAAACATGCGCTCCGCCTGTGATGAACCGGACACATAACAGCTGCAGTCGACTTACCCGCCCTCGACAATGGCGACGGGTGGCGCCGAATACGGATCAATCTTCTTGTATAAGCACAGCAAACGATGGGCCACAAACAGTACGGGCAGAAAGAGTACGCCACAGAGCAGCACGCCCACCCAGAAACCATTCTACAAAGAAAAGAACGAAGTATTAATGATATTTTTGCATGAGTCCTATTTGAAACTCACCATTGGATCGACCAGACGATGGCATATCAAGTCCACACTACGATTATAGACCTGGGCAAGTGGCGCACATTTGCCTACATTGCCGTGACACTTGTCTACGACCATTTCTATATAATGTACGACCTGCTCCTTGATGTAACTAGTCAGATTTTCGCGCAGTCCACTGACGTACTGTTCGCCATGCGACCTTAGGAATATTTCGGAGCGTTCCGTTGATTCGTGCAGTTTCTTAATGGATTCGCCAAATGCATTGCCGTTATATAATATAAGTTCATCAATCTTCAATAGCTTCTCCGTCATTTTACTTATGATGCTCTTGATCTTTTCAACAAACTCATCGTGATATCTCTGCAGGTTATAGGCCTCGTTGTACAGGGAGGTTCGGGCCCAGTCGTAAATGCCCCACTGACTCCAGAGACTGGCTCGCAACTCCTTCAGCTGATTGGCCATTGTGGGCAA